CTTATATCATAAATGTTCTTAATTTTTAATTAGTATATATATCAATACAGAAATTTTCTTGAGAAAAGTCTGCTTCGAATTCGTTAAGAGACACATGCCAATAATCACAATCGTGATTATGTTCAAATATTCAACATATCGCAGACGCTCTTCTTTGTGTTTCGAACGAAGGAGGTCCCGCTCTTATAATGACATATTTACGAATTCATAAGAATGATCTTGACGAGAAAGAGCAAGAATTCCCACGTTATCAATCTCGATTTTTCTAGTCGCGCACATGCTCAGGGCTTTTCAATTAAATTTTCATTTTCTCTTAAAATCCGCAGCGCTCTTTTATCTTCCAGTGGAAGGCGCTTAATTGTCTCGCTTAATCGCTACAAAGGCGTAGATCATCATCGTAATATATAACTCTCAGTAATTTATTATATACCGGCTACGCCCTCCGCGCCGTTTCTCCGTATTTTTTTTTTTTTACGTACGGTCGATATAATTTATTGCATCGCTACGCGATGTAATAAATCGATCGCGTGTATCGGCCGATCATCGGGCGAGCACTTTTCCCGAGTTTTACGATCCGAATCACGGTCGTAAGATCAAGAAAAGTATCGGAGTCACAAACTCGGGATTGCGTTCCTCTCTTCGCTATTTCTTTTCCTCTCCCCCTGCCCCTCTCTTTTTCTTTCATCCGTAAATCTAAAACGACTTTATGCAAATAGATAGGCTTTTAGGTTTTACGACGAAAAGTACCGGAGGTAAATACAGTTTAACGCCGTACAAATAACGCTGCCGGTCTCGCGCAGCTCGTTTCGTGCAAGACGGAAGAGAAGTAAAGGTTTCAGAGGCTGGTCGTCAGGCTGGACGTGAAATTGGGAACCGCCGCCAAGAAAAATATCCGCCCGCGCTCATTTACTCCGGTTTCATCTTCATTCGCGGACCACTGAAAGATCTACGACGAAGACGTCTCGCCACGTGGCGGAATAAACTATGGCATCAGTCGTCCCACCGCGCCGTGTTTCTACGAAACAAAGATCCAATATTCCGGGGCTTTAAAAATAATACTGACATCGTTATCGATGTGAAATAAACTCGCGGCAACCGGAGTCTCGTCTCGCGCGCGCGATTTAGATAGAAGAAGAAAAATTTCAAAAACGGCAACATTAATAACCATCTCGGTATCGGCGTACCAAGAATTCGAGTTTATCAATGTTGTTAAAGTGTATCGAGTTTATCGACGGTAGTATATTGGAGATATCGAAAGACGACTGCTATATTTAGAGCTTCGAATAACGAAAAGTAACGAAGGGTACGAAGTAAAAAGGGATGGTCATCTGGCGCAACGTACGTGGTTAAACAACGATTTATTTGTAATTCCTAAAGTTCTCGTTCTCGCAAGGAAAAGAGAAAGAGAGGTGGGCAGAGGAGAGAGAAAGAGAGAGACACACGAGAGGGACAACCAAGCGCGCACGTGTGTCGCAATGTCCCTTAACGACTGACGGCTGCTGGAGAACCGGTCGACCTCGATACACCTCGAGGCCCGGCTTTCCTGCACGTATTACACGCCGAGTGTAATATACGTACGTACGTGTATTCCCGATACATATACACATCGTGCGCGAGCGAGGGATTTTGCACAATCGCCGATGCCGCCGCGCCGTTGCTCACGAAGTTAAAACTATACCGTAGAAAATCGGTTTTACCATGCCTCGTTTAAATAACGGATCCCACGTTTTTGCACGGCACAAACGCCTCGCCGCAATGCCTCACTATTGTAACATCGCGCGCACTATTTTACTTCACATGCCGCATCCATGGGTGTATTTAACTCTTCAGCGGACGCGGAAGGTCGCGTAAGAAAATGTTTGAGCTTGCCCGACTCCTTTTTCCCCGCATCTCGAATATAGCTTCGGATATACGAACTTTAAATCTCTCTCTCTTTCTCTCTCATGTAGATCAATTAAACATTAAAAAAACATGTCATTTTTTTTTATACAGATTATGATGCAGATATAAAATTCCGAGAAAAATCTCCTTTTGAGAAAAAGTGAATATTTGTTACACCCTGCGAGTTAAGAATATATACCTCAGTTTCATAATATAAGCAGAAAAAAAAACTGTATATTCGTCTGATGGCATCACGTTCACTAAATTCATCAAACGTTAGATTAATATTTTTTCCAGACACAAAATTATTAACATTAAATGTTTCTTAAAATCTGCGAGTTCAGAGTCTATATTTTACTTTACAATACAATAAAAAAAAGACTCGGTTGTGATGGCATCAAATTCATCAAGTTCATCAAACATTAGGTTAATAATACTTTTCCCAGATATACCTAGACCTGAAAAGTAAAATGTAGAAGCAATTCAAGTCGCTCTTCTTCATTAAACGTGTGAGTCTTGCACTTGTGCATGCATTCGCGTTGTAACACATTACAAACGCACACGGCGACATAATGGCGTACGTCGATACGTTCGACGGATCAATTTACCTGTTCCGAGTGTGTTTCACAACAAGGCTTATCGTGTCGTTGCCGAAGCAAACGAGCGAGCGCGGGTACCGCGCCGACAAATCCGATGGCCATTAGCGCCATTAAAATCTTGTTTAGTTGCGTCAGAGTTCGAGCAGATTTATCGCGCGATTGCACGGTGACATTTGCCCGCCACTTCTAATTATCTGATATATACGCGTTTTTCTCCCCCTCCGTCAAGATTTCACACGTAGCTCCGGAGTCGCTCCGAGTAAATTAGTTTCTTTGCCGTTTAAGCAATATTTCGTAATTTCTACGAAACTCTCGTAATCGCGAAAAATTGTTTGTTTTGTTATTAAGTTGCGGCATAGATAAGATCAGGCATACAGACGGTTTTAGTGCCACTTGCATAATAATACTCAAAACAGAATAAAAATGCAAACAGGTTGCGAGTCTATTTCATATAAATTAAATTCAAATTATATTTAGTAACTTCGTATATCTTCTTTTTCAATCCTTTATAGAAGACATAAATACACGATCAGATATGTAAATGTATATAATGTACAGAACTTCTCACGATATTTCTTTGGCTAATTTCTCTCTATAAATAAAATATCCGCGAGTGTTAATGATATTCTAGTTAGAAGAACTTTATAAATAATTTATAAATAGATAACAGACTAAGCCTTAGAATCGAATAAATGATTTTAACGGAATTTTTGTTCGCGCGTGAAGCTTAACTCGACAAGTATATCTCGAGTGAAAAGTATTAAGAAACATGCTGTTGAATATTACTGAGGAAACGCGACCATCAGGCTGGTCGTACATATGAAAGGAAATATGAGGAAATCTCTTGCACCCTGTATCAAATAAATCTACAATTTTAATTTAGCGCAACCTGCTGTACGAGAATTGAGCGCGTCATGCGTGACGTGCGATTTTTCGCGATTGCGGTCGCTCACCCGATTTTAATACAAGCACGGTTCCACAATAGTCACCGCGCGGCGGGGGGAGGTGAACATCAACGGCACGCTCGGCGATTTAGCCGCGGAATGATTCAACCCCCAATTGCCTCCTGGAGCGTATCGCGGCCGACAGTATATCGGGGACCGGCAGTCGGTCCTCTCTGTGTGACGTAAAACCGCAGCGGAGATCCCGCGGACGATTAGCCAAAGAGCGGCGACGGCGGTAGCAGTGCTTACGCCGTAAGGATACCATAGGTATCCCCCCGTATTCGCGTGAAAGTAACGGGCCACGCGCGTTTATATTTTTCAATGCAACTGCGGCTCGCGAGTGCGCGCACGCTCGGTCGAGCCGAGTTTATGATTTTGCTTAATTAATGGTCTCCTCGTCAGCTACCGCTCCCCCCCCCCTCCTGCCGCTCCCCGCTCTCCCCCGCGTGCCCAACCCACCCCCACCTGGTCCCCGGCCTCTCGCCGCTACCAGCGGCGGCGGTGGCGGCCCGGCGGCCATTAGCCCGCATGGATTGCGCAATTTCGGGAAATTGCGAAGTAATTCGCGGTTGCGGCCACTCTCGGCACAGCAGAGACGGCGACGACGCTGGCGAGGCGACGGAACTGGTTAACCAGAGAGGCACAGAAAAGAACTGAACCCGTGGATTCTACGAAAGGACGGTCGTTGCTGGCTCGCCCGATGACGATATCGGTCCGCCGCGATCAATCCCGACGAAGAGGCAAAAAAGAAGAGGGACCTGGCGGGCAATTATGTTGGAAGAATCGCGCGCGGTTAAATCGACCGGCGAACTCTGTCAATTCGGATGAGTTTTATGTAACAGAAACCGAGTACCGGTTTAGGTTGACTCTTGACGATATTTTAGGAATTATTACGTCTTACGAATCGTGACGTAATAAGACTGCTATCTGCTTGCTGTATTACAATTTATAAAAACGTAAAGGAAACAGTCATATTTTTTCAACTGTAGCTCGAGCTTTTCTAAAGGAAATTTTCATCCAGGAGAAAAAAATTTTTAAAACGTATCTTTTCCTAAATTTTTCTAACTAAATATATTTCGTTCTTTTGTGTAATATAAGCAGACTTAAGAATAAAATCACATTACACAATGTAATGCATCGTTCGTATCGATAATAGCTTAATTTATTTTTTAGCAAGAGAATTTTGAAAGAAAAAGAAAGAAATATATCCATCATTGTAAAACATGTTTAGCTAAGTAATAATTAACGTGAGGCCGATTTTCTATTTGCGAAATATGTCGGCAGAGTAATTCTGGATTGTTATTGTCTACCGTTACCGTGGCGATTTGTTTCACCCTTCACCGTTATAATTACGTTACCACTACCCAGACTAGTCCCAATTGCGTTCGTTACGCTATCGCCACCACCACCACCACCACCACATTGCCCATTATTTTGTGTCTAAATGAGAAATCAGAGGTAAAAGACAAGAAAGAGAGAGAAGGAAGGTAATAACTTATTTCCAAAAAAAGGCAGCCCATTTTTAAAGAGTGGGCCGTCTAAAGAGAAAAAATAAAAAAAGAAATGTCTACGATACCGATGCTATTCTGAGTACTGAGTTCCCAGTCTTTCATGAGGATTTCTCGGGCAGGTCAGGATGACGGCGACGTGGGTACACCTATAATGCAGACAGTGATCGTCACATATAGACTGGCGTAAAAATCGTGTTAGGCGATTGTCGAAAGTTCACTAAAGTACAATATTACAGCTAAAACAAAAATATGGTAAGGATATTCAGTGCGCATTTTTGTATGAAGAGATCTATGAAATTACAAACTATACGTTTGTAATTTTGTACAAAAATAATATCTCTTACATTTCGCAATTTTCAGTTTAATTTAGTTTTACGCAGAGAGATAATAAATTTAATCTACATTTTAAACATAAATAAACAGTAAAAATCATTATTAACATCTGAACAGTTTTGTCGATATATAATTGCGACTAGTTTAATTTAATTTCAGCGAATAATTATTTTTTCGCTGAAAAACTTTTTTAACTGGTTTAGTAATATTAAATAAAAAAAAAAAATATGTTCAACAGAAAGAAGTCAAAGTTTTCTTTTGTTCGCCGAACAGGTACGATTTACGATTGAAAATCCGCCGAAGCAAAGCGCGATAATTATATCCGCGTGCGAGTTTTTCTTTCGAAAAGACCGGACGTCCTAACTTTCACACGTGCAACGTTTTCTGTGGTGAAATCGGCGCGTTATAAGTTGCGAGGTGAGCAACAGTCGCGACTCACCGTTCGCGGTTACGCTTACTAGCGTCTTCGGAAAGCGTGGAGAGCAATGAGACAGCTCCAGCCTCTGCACGCATGCATACATTACCACAAATGTGTGTAAACACACATCCCCCTCGAATTACCTCGAAACGACACGCAGGGCGATGAACGTAATTTCGTTTAATTTCGTTTAATTAACAAAATCGACCGTTCGTTTATGGTATATATACACGTTGAAATGAGATTTTATTGTACGCTGGAGAAAATAAAATTTCGCAATTATTTTATTTAAAGAAAACACACACACACACGCACACATACACACACACACACACACGCACACGCACACATATTATATATAAAACACACACAGGTATGTAACTAATTATAACTTACAACTTATAAATAGTTTTGATTCACATTTATTCTTTTACTTATGTTTGGTTCGTCTCTCTTAACTTATACATACATACATACATACATATATATATATATATATATTTATTATACTTGGTATCTGACGCTACCGCGTCGCTTGATATATTTAATATTTTATATATATTTAAATTTAATAAACATTGAATTTAACTTGCTGATGAAAAGAACAGTGAATAAAATAACGATTCCAGCATTTTATTACTGTAATAAAATGCAAATAAAATATAAAATTAATTATCTTATATATACGTAAATTTAGACTAAATTTTCGAGTCATGCAGGTCGAAAAGCCAGGAAAGAGTTTTAAGAGTTTATGAAAACGGAGTTATGTTTAAGGCTCTTTAACGCAGCTTATATGTATATATCAACGATAGGAGTTCAAATATCAGGAATTTGTAAAAACGATTTGGCATAAATCGGACTTTCAATCCCAATAAATTAGACGTAGCACAGAAAAGAATTTTTAAATCTACCCAAATCTCTAATATCAAAACTAGATTAATGGCATTTTTGCCTCTATAAAATTTTTATTGACGCATAGTAATAAAAGATATATAAACATAAATAAAGTCAATTAATAAATATGGCCATCAATAAGTATACTAATTATAAAATTGACACGTACAATGAGTATCTATTTTATTTCATATTTTTCTTTCGTATTAATTGCAGTTAGCGTCAAAGAAATTCATATAATATAAAATTACTGTCAAATTTAATGTATAGAAAATGAATGTTATAAAAATAAAAAAGACCGTACAATATCGTTTGAATGTTAATATACAGAAAAGTGCAGAATCTCAATACCATCAAAATATTGCAAACTTCTCTCTAACAAATCACATTTTATCTTTCAACTCGAAATAACTCAAATTTACGCTCCATTGGCCTTTGCAGTTTCCTATTTTTCTCCTCGCAGCAGTTCAAAAAACGAACGGCGCGGAATAATTCATCGCTTTGACGAATTTTTCGAAAAATATTCAGCATAGAAATAGTACACGAACACGTGAAATTGTTGCAATTTCAGTTCCGCCTATTCGAACAGCATAACGAATAGTTGATTTTTTTTTCTGGAACACACATCTCCATGTATACATGGCATCGGAAATATTCCTTTAAATCAGAGGCATTCCATGGATGTGTCAATTCTCGTTTATTTCGACGCATTGCTTGCTTTTCCGTGTATTTACAGAATGTCTAGAATATCGGCGTGAATCCATATAGTCACGCAATCCATACGGACAATCGTTAAACGATAAACTGCACGTATAAAGAAATGAAATGCGTTACGTATGGGAGGCAAGTTTTGCTAATCATTTCAACAGAGAAATAGCAGAGAAATTGTTTCACATAATCATTACCGTGCATTAATTCTTGATTCTATGCAACTTAGCAATTATGACGGTAAACTAACGGAAAACGCGCTGAATGGTCTCGCGAACGTTTCCCAGACGCACCAATGTGAATTCATTGTTAACGTATATCTCTCTGGACACGGCTCACCGCAACGGCGTCAAAGTAGTTTATTTGCGACGGGAAAGCTACTGCACGCGGAAGAACCAACAATGGCGAAAACCGGCCGAAACGGGTAGAAATATGTGAGGGAGAGAGAGAGAGAGAGAGAAAGAGAGAGGAAGAAAAAAAAGGGGTAACGGGTCTCACCGCAAGAGCGCCGAAAAGTTTATTTGTTTCGTATGCCTATATCTATACGGGCGTAACTCGAGTTTCTTTTTTACGTCCTTTGTGCGCCATTCCAAATCTCGCTGTCAGTAATTAATACGCGAATATTCCCATGACAACGGCGTTGATCCAACGACAATCCGACAACGGCAATCGATTACAAAACATCACTAACCGACATTTTATCCCAGAAAAAAAAACATGTTATAATTCTTGCATAAAGTATTTAAAATCCATGCTTGGACTCGATTTGCTTCATAATGTCACAATTTTTACTCGTTACATGTTCATTTTCGGTGCCTTGTAACTTATTCACATCACGATAATTCAAATAATGAAGAATCTAATTCAAATTTCAATGAGGGAAAAAACGAAATGCGGAGAAGATAAAATAATGTTGCATAACATCTCTTGATTTTCGTTTCTCTACATATACTATATCTCTGTTTCTTGTTATCAATATGAAAAATACGAGCCAGCAAAACACGATTTTTTTTCTTTTTAATGCGCTCTAGCTCCGGAAATGAAGTATTCTATGGCATGCGCCGCATCCCGTTTATGTATATATATATATATGTATATGTTTTACATATATATTTTTTTTAACTACTGCTGAAAAATCTACACAACGAGACGAGTTCGCCGCGTATAAAGCCGAGTCCCCGCGAAAGAATGCAAGGTCCCAAGGAACGCTCCTCCTCTCTATGCGGAAAGGAATCTCGAGGGTGAAGCGCGCCCGAGGCATCAGGAAGCTAAGTGCACCTGCATATTCGTGCATACGTGCACGCATGCACGCGAGGTTCCTTAAACCGTATAATCCCGGGAATGTATTGGGTCAACAAAGAAGAGCTGCGGGGTGAGGCCGGGTGCTCGTGTAAACTATCGCGTGAAGCGTTTTGAAGCTGTTTACGGTGTTCGCGAGGTGTATTTATTATTATCCGTGGTATAGATCTGAGCCCAGGAAGAGGCCAATAAGGTTAATGAGATATTACGTCGTAATATCGCGAGTCTCACGCTGATACGAATCTCGCGCCTTAAACGGTCGAAGACGTCGAGGCGATGACATTTCGCTCACTTCGATAATTTAGGCCTTTTTTTGCCGTTTCCTGCCGGGTATCTCTCTTACGAGATGTGTAATATTTAGGACTGACGGAAGTTGACGTGATAAAATAGAACTATTTAACAATTCCGATATGACGTGGATGTGTCAAACGCGAGGAATCACTTATATATTAAACTCATCGACGTGTTTGCGAAAATAGACGTCTGCTGCATAATTTCAAAATGTCGTCCGCGGGTCATCTAGATGAGCATTCTGATGTGTTTTTAAGAGAATAAACATTTTACAACATTAGTGGGATAATATATTCACAAATACACATGCTACGAAGAAAATAAAGGCAGAGAATACGAGAACTGATAAACAAGATGAAAAATTCACGAAAGCGCTTAAACGCTTTTTCGCGATTTTTCAATTATTTACACAGCAAATATTATTGCTTGTTATTAAGTTTGCCGCGTCGATTTAAACTGAAATTGCGGAGAGTGAACAACCAGCCAGCGGCGGAGATCTCGCGTTCGCCATTAGCGAGCTACACGTTTACACACTTGTATTCGACTTGTATAACGGATCGCGATGCAGGCATTCATTACACACTACACACTCACTACCTTAGGTGTACCTCCAACGTGAACTACCGAGGCAGGAGTCAAGAAACGTTCCGTGACTTGAACACGACCTCCATTAGCCTTTCTCGATCAGACCGCTAATTAGTCGGCATCGGCAAGTGAGTTGCAGTCTCCGCGCGCGCACGCTTCCTCTCTCCGCCTGTGTCTCTTTAGCCGTCGACATTCCTCGTAAATATTAAAACTTCAGCGCGTACAGGCGTGTCTCAGACGTAGAGAGATGAGACAGATGAGATGAAATTTATGAGAAGAAATCAGTGAATGAACGTTTATACAACGAATAAAATTTTCTATTCAATGTAAAAAGAACTTTCCAAAGAAAAAGAAATCTGAAAATTGTTCTATTGTATTCCACCTTATTTTGTCTAAACGATTATTCCAAGTTTTTATTTAAGTATTTCTAATATCGTTAATTTTAAACTTTTTATTCTTTCTTGTATCATTACAATAAAATATATTTAATTTTAAATTATATATTATTTTTCTCTTTAAGAACTTTATAATATCTAGTTTTATTAAAGAACGTGAAAGGAAAAATGATATATCAGATTTCTTTTTTGCGATAAAGATTCTCAATTTGATTGTCGATTA